AGGCTCTTGCACGAATGAAGATTCTCTCTTTGAGTTCTCTCCTTCACTTCCTACTTGCAAGGTTATTGGGTCTATTTTTGGACCCAATTTTAATGATTTGAACCGTTCATATTTTAAGGTTTATTAAGTATATCATATCTTTAAAAAATTAAATTAATCGAACATCAAAAAGCATGTGTTCAGAAAATTGTTTATTAAATTTTTTTTAAAAAAAATAGTTTTTAGTTTGATGATCTGAACATGTAGTTTCTGATATCCGATCAACTTAATTTTTTACAGGTATGATATACTCAATAAATTTTAAAATGTAAACGGTTCAGATCATCGAAATTGGGTCAAAAAATGAGCCCAATAGCTTTGCAAGTAGAGAGTGACGGAGAGAGCTCAAGGAGAGGATCTTGATTCATCTACACAGTTTAATCGTTCGTTTACATCAAATTTGAATAAAAATTAGATTTAATGTTAAATGTTTAATTTTGATTAAACAATTAATCGATAGGAGGATATCTGGACCGTCGTTTAGCTTAATATAATTTTTTTTCAAAATTTTTTCAATCCGGTCATCCACCTTTAATGAAAAGTTAAACGTTCCTTTAATATAATAAATAATATATAAAACTCCTTTAATTGATACCAATTTAGTGAAATAGTTGGAACACCATTTCTACTAAATTTTTATCAAATTTAAATTTAATAAAAAATTTGAGTCTAAGTGACAGATAGTCTAATGGAAGGTTTTGGCCTTAGATAATTCAATTTGAGTTATGATGTTCAAATTTAAATATAAATTTAAGAAAATTTAAAAGACTTGTAAAATTCATAATTTTATTTTGTTGATCTAAATCGTTTATTTTATAAAGTTTTAGTGTATTTTACTCAAAAAGAAATTAAATTGATCGAATAATTATAACATTTTTATTTTATAATATTTTTGTCTAAAAAATGAAGAAGCATGTTTTATTTAAATAGACCATCTATTATTATTTTTATTTTTTTTGAAATAAATACGATAAAATATAAAATTGTGTTTATTAGATTGGCATAATTTATTTATTTTTTATAGATGATATATATGAAAGACTTTACAAAATAAACGATTTGGATAATTAAAACGAATACAACTACATGAGCCCTTTAAATTTTATTAAGTTCAACTATGAATATTTAAAAAACAATTTTGCTACATCCATCGAAATTATGGCCACCTAAAATGCTCAAATGAGGTGGAAAGTCTTACTCTGCTATTATTCCATTTGCCTAAAAAATGAGTGAATTTCTCGCGCTAGAAAAAGAAGAGTCACTAAATTAGGGAAAATTATTTAATAATTCCGGAATATCATGTGACCATATTCCAAACCAATCACCAATTAGTTAGTCTTATATTATTTTCCTATCCCCAACATAAATCATGGGCCCCTACCTCTCTCTACCAATCAAAATTTTATAGAACACCACATGTCCATACTCCGAGAATACTGAATAATCATCCCTGAATCAAATCTAACCCACGCCTCTTTTCTTCTCTCTATTTCCCCTCAAACTGTAAACAAAGCTCTCTCTCTCTCTCTCTCTCTCTCTCACACACACACACACACACACACAACACTTGCAAATACAAAAATCCAAAAAAAAAAAAAAAATACTAATCTTAAGATTAATTATGCAATTTCTTACATTATCAAAAACACTAGAACTTTATATTTCTTCATGGGAGTCCAATTAAAAAAGAAAAAGAAAACCGCCCTCCAAGTTGTGTAAACCCAAAGCCCCAACGGCGGCCAAGCTAATGTCGGCATCCCATTTGATTTCCCTCAGCTGTCTGGTCTCAAAATCATGAATCTCTCACTCAACAATTTGAATGACCAAGTGGGTGGTTTAGAGGTTTGATTTTGATGCTTGAAATATCCAAATTTTCATAAATCCACCTCACAAAATTCACCCAAAAAAACACAAACCCATCAAGAAATAAAAATCAAATAAAAAAAAAATAAAGCTTTGGTCTTGGGATTGTCCATTTCATCATCATCAACTATTGTTTTGGCCATGGTTGTATGTATTGCATATGTACAGGAAGAGAGAAAAGTCTTAAATGAAAAACAAATGGCTAATCTCTTTACATCCATTCAATTTCCCTTCAAGATAGATAAATTAGGGCCGGTTAGTTTCGAGATCGAGTCAGGATTGTCATGGGTTGTGGGTTTTTTATTTATTTATTTTGTGTATGTGTGTGTGTATAGAAGAATGTGTGTGACAATATGTGGAGTTTGTGCCAAAATGGAGGTCTTGTGGATTTCGATCACTAGAGTTTTAAAGAAAGAGAGTGAAAATTGTAACAATTTGTTCTGGGTGACCACTTGAGTGATCGATTAGTTGCTCGAGCGAATATGCGAAACTCTCAGTATCTTCACTGTTTGCAAGTGAGACCGTTTGAGCTGTTTTGTGGTCGCTCGAGCAAAGATATGAGGCTTTCAGTAATTTCACTATAGTTCTACAAAACTTCTGGGACTTTGTGTTTATCGCTCGAGCGGTGTAAAGTTCACTTAAGCAATCTCTTTGCCTTTGTACACTTCGCTCGAGCGGTCTACTCAAGAGCAGATATTTTGACTCATTTCTCTCACTTTTTTCATCTTTTCTTCTTCTCACTCCTCTTTTTCGAAAACCCTAGTACCAAAACTCTAGATTTCATCTATTTATAGCAAGAATCTATCATTGTTCCTTCATCAAAGGTGTTGATCTTGTTGAAAGCTACATTTTGAACTGATTGGATTGTGATAGTTTGGAAGTTCATCTTGTTGGGTCTTCATCCCTTCACACACAACCTTGAGATAGGAATATTTTTACCCTTGTATATCTATGTTTTGGTTACATTTTGTATTAATTTCATGATATGTGTGTGTGATTGGCAATGGGTGATTCATATGTGGGCATTAATGGTGATAAAGGGTTTTTGCCTTAAATTTTATGGAATAATTGGTTAGTGCTTAAAGAAAAACGATGCACACATCATGAATCTTGGAAAATGAAAGAATGGAATGAAAAGCCCTAATTCGCTTGTGAAGCCTTAATCATTGTTCATGGGTCTTGGTTGGTAGTAAAGGGGAATTAATGGATAAATTGATGATGTGTCGATGCATTTTGTGTTATGACAAAATTAGAGTTATTGAATAAATTGTTTGATGTGTGTCACGGTATTACCTACGCGGGGAAATTGAGGTGCCCACTTGCCCAATTGTGCTAGGATGACAAATGTGGGAATGTTTGAGGCGTCCACGTGGCCGATCATATGAGGACGATGAATGTGGAGGACTTGAGGTGCCCACTTGCCATCCGTGTAAGGACGAAGAAATATGGAAATCTGGAATGAATTGGAACAATGTGGATGGAAATATGTGATTTTGGAACTAGTGTTCATGGGTAAGGGTCATGGGTTATGCATAATTTAAATCAAAATGCTTATATATTTGGTTAAATATATTTTTTATTGGGCAATTGCTCATTCCAATATAACAAAATTTCAAGACTTGGCGAGCAGCAACCACGCCAATGAAGTAGGAATGGATCAACGCTTTTTGTTTGAGCCAAGAACATTTTGCAAAACATGGGAGATGACATTTTGGAGTTTTGGCTTTGTTTTGGGACCATGAGTTCTTTTGTTCAATAAAGGCTTTACCTTAAAAATTGTAAGCTCGTAGGACATTTGTTATTAATTCTCTCTAGCTCTTTGAACTATAAAAATTATTCATGTAAGTTGTGATTCCCAACTTGTAGTTCAATGAGAAAGAGAATCTTTAGGATTAATCTTGTAATCACTAGCTATTATTATTGGTATAAATATATATATTTCTGTCCCGTTGGATGTTGTTTTGTTTTTAATAATTTGGGGGCATTACAAAAATGGTGCTTTTAAACCCATTCTGCAACAGCAGAAAATGGGGTTGGACTTGTGGTGGCGAGGTTCATGAAAGGGGATAAGTGGTTCACGGTGGTCGGTAGAGGAGTGGCAACGATGGTATGGAGGTCAGTTCTCCGGTCACCCATTCTTTGCTTTTTTTTCTTCATAGATTCAGATATGAGAGAGAGAGAGAGAGAGAGAGAGAGGATTGTTAGTGTAGGCAAAGAGAGCCAAGAAACGCATGGTTTTTTTTTTTTTTTTTTAACTTTTAAAATTCACAAAGTTTGATGGCGCCATATAATTCAGGCTTGACCAAACTGAGGATTTTGTATGGGCCAAACATTATTTTTTTTAAAAACCCTAGCCCATTGAGTTTTATTACCAACTATGAATGTTACATCCATACAATTTTTTATACCAGCAATGCTACATTCATACAATTTTTCCTTCCGCATTTTTCCCAGATATGTTTCTGACTGGTAAAAAGGTCATAATCATTTTCTTACAGGTGAAAAATACATTTGGGGAGAAAAAATCGTGTAAATGAATCATTTTTGTTTTCCACACAAAATTCTATGAACTCTCTTATACACCCATGTGAGATAGTCTATAAATTTGTGTAAAAATTGGGTAATTATATCTTTGCTCTAGTTCTATTCCTACTCATATTTTTTTCCAAGTATAAATTATTTATGTTGTTTGAAAATTAACTTTGAAATAAAAATTAATTGTTCGAATTTCAATTTTAAACAAAATTCAATTGTTTAAATAAAAATTTTATTCAATACGATATTCAAACAAATAATTTTGTTTGGAAGTTAATATTATTTTTGGACAATTGATATCGAAATAATACAAACATGCATACTAAGATAAAGTTGGTTGTGCTAATAGAATTATCTTTTAGGTTGTTACTTGACTGCTCATCAAATGCTAGAAAATTTAGAATTTGTGTTTTTTGTTAAATGACATTTTTGCCCTTACCTTGAGTTTTTTTTTTTTGTTGATATGTATGTAATGATAGCCACCAATAAATATGCAAGAAAGGACTTGGACAAGAAAATGCTGATCACTGAAAGGAGTGTTATCTCCAACATCCTTACACACATGGTTGTGAAGAAAAATGGGACAAAGTTTAGAAGTAGTAGCTCAAAAGAGAGAATTGGGTGAGAAATCAAGGGATAAACAGGAACCCATTTTTCCATTGAGAGTTTCAAACACAATTCTTACTCAGTCTGCAGTTACAGTGCTTGGATTGGGGTTCATCGATGCCGGGTAATCTCCTAGAAATCACTTCTACTATTTTATTTTTATTTTATTTTTTCTGATCTAAATAGATATAGTAGTGCTTAAACTTTACCAGTATCTACTCTCTCTCTTTCTCTCTCTCTCTTTCAACTCTAACTTGCAAAATCTGCACAATTAAATGTGAAGGTATAGTGGAGACTGGTCAAGGATTGGAGTGATTTCAAAGGAGACTGAAGATTTGTTAAAGCTTGCAGCATTTGTTGTAGTCCCTTTGTGCCTCTTTCTCATATTTTCTTTCTCTAAGAAACATGAGGCTTGAAATTTCGAATATGATTGTACCATTTTCTAGGCAACCACACTTTTTCTTAAATAAATAAATAAAAGAATTTTGAGGTGGTTTGCTTTTTCTATTTTTCCTTGACCGTTCACTCAGCAAGAGCCATGACATGCCCTATAAAAAAAAAGGTAATATTTTTGTCTGTTTGCATCAAAATTCAGCCTTTTACCATCAAACAAAAAAAAAAATTGCAACTTCTGTTCCCTGGTCGGAGATACCTTTGTATTGTTTTGTCTCTTGTTTTTATTAGCAAAATAGAAGAGTGTTATCAAATAATGTGGAAATATAACCAATAATTTCAGCTGGGATCATTTACACCATGACCTCCTAAATTGTTGAAAAATATCATTTTGACTTCCTAATTTATAAAAGCTTGTAAATAGATTCTTTAAATTATTATGAAGTATCATTTATTCCTTAAATTATAAAGGCGTACAAATAGACCCCTAAACTATTGGTGTCCCTTTCGTTAGGGGTCTAAATTGTACAGTTTTATACACTATGGGCGTGTTTCAATCTGACCCCTTTTGTTAGGGGTCCAATTTGTACGGTTTTTATAATTTAAGAGGTTTATCTATACACCTTTATAATTTATGGGACAAAGTGACATTTCACAATAATTTAGGAATTCATTTGTACACTTTCATAATTTAAAGATCAAAATGATATATTTTTTTAATAATTTAAAAGTTCTCTATATAAATAACGGAAGTGATTGAGGGCCCTAAATTTCGGGGCTCGAATGCCCCGAAATTCCATTTTAGGTAAAAAAAAAAAAAGGAAAAAAGAAAGAAAAAAAAAACAGTTTCCAAAATTGGAAATTAGGGATATTAGGGGCAACTTTTTTAGGGCCACCAATCATTTTCCTATAAATAACCATACAGCTACAGACTATATTAGAATCACTAGTGGACAAGTTAAGAGGTATATATTACAATCACAAGTGTAAGTGGGTATTAGTTGGGAAAATTCTATAACACATGTCTAGTTGTGATTTTTTTGTAGTTTTTTATTATTATCTGTTCTGGTAGTAGTTGACTATGACTAATTGTAATGTAAATTATAATTTGATTATAATCACTTTTTGTTTTATTTTAGTTATGTCAGAGGTATTTGATTATGCCTCAATTAGTCTTTGGTTATGATTCTTAGTTATGTTGTAAAGTTGGTTTTACTATAACAAATAAGAGTTTTAAAGATCAAATTTTTGTTTCAAAAAATAAAAATTTTGTTGCAAAAAATATTTAAAGACCAATTTGTGTTGTCACGAGAATAATTGCTAAAAGGTCAATTCGAAAAAAAAAAAAAGTTTTAGCAATAAAATTTTAAAATTGTTGCTGATAGTTACATTTCTAGGGACAATCATTTTTTTAGATAAAATTCAGGTCCCAAAAAAATAATAATTTATCACTAAATGTCCAATTTTGTCTCTAAAAATACAATAATGCTATTTTTGACCCCCAAAAAAATGTTACATATCTAAAAAGTGATTTTATCCCTAAATTTTTGTTTTTAAAACCGTCATTTGTTGTAGTGTTATAACTTATTATAATTATTATTTTGGTTATGATCGAAAAAGTCTTCATCATGTCATAAGTGATATTTGATCATGATCCATTATATTACTTTTAATTTTGAATATAAAAGTAATTTAGTTATAATATTTATGATATAGATGACATAACTTACATATAATATATACTAAAAAAAAAAATGTGTGTTGTAAAACAACCTAATATTATTATTTTATTTAGACACATCAAATTAATATAATTTATTTTTCTTTCTAAAGTCGAGCATCGACGGGAGTAGGGTCACCAAGTCAAACCTATTAGGCTCCTCATTATGTTGTAATTTCATGTAAAATTTTATATATATCTCTTTTTTTACTCATTTTGATTGGTGTTGACATCAAGAATTACAGTGTAACGAATGATATACTTTGAGACTTGAAATAGAACAATTAAAATATTGAGATTTAAAATGTAACATAATGTATGCTTTGAGGACCATCAGTGTAATTACTCTTTAAAAAAAAAATTACAATGTATCTCAATACATTGACGTAGTTTAAATCAACAATTATAACATAGATAACTGCAAATAAACTCCCGAAGAAGGAGAGAGATATCCCAAATGATTGCAAGGGTAATACGACCCTCATGTAGGTGGAAAGAATCGAACTCTTAACCTCTTAGTACACTTTAAGAGCTCTAGCCATTGGATTGATTTTGTTAAATGCTCACAGAAGGACAAATATTGCCAAATTTTAAGGAAGATGGGTATATGTAGCTACTGTGCATAAAGCACAACAGTCACTGTTGTACAGCTAACTCGGCTCACTTCGGGTCTTGTTTTGATAATCCGAATCATTCAATTTTTAGAGATATTGAGTAGAATATGCTCGAAAAAAATTAAATTAATCAGATATTGGTAGCCCTTTCACCTAAGTACATTTGTATTATATTTTATACACAAAATCACATTAACCATTCATTTTTTTAAAATACAAATGTAATTAGATGAAAAAGTTATCGATATCCGATCAATTTGATTTTTTTGTAGATATATTTTATTTGATATACTCTAAAAAGTGAATGCTTCAAATTATTAAAATAACACCCATAATGGACCCTATTGACCACACAACAGTGACCCCGTGCATAAAGCACAACAATCACCTCAAATTCAAATTTAAACACCATGGCTAGTTAAATTCTGCTTTCTTTTCTTTCCAATATAGTAAATTGTATACTTTTTATTTTTATTTTTATTTTTATTTTTATGCACTTTGGTTGTATATATGAATGTAATGAACTAGCAAAAGTAATTTATTCTCCCTTTCTCTAAATCAGACTGCAATGCAAGCAAGTAGTTTATTCTATCCTTATTTTTTTTTATAAACCAAAGTGTAAGCAAGTAATTTATTCTCTTCTTTTTGGTCCTTTGATATTGACATAGGCCCTGTTTGGTACAGCTTAATTTCAGCTTATTTCAGCTTTCAGCTTAATTTAAGCTATTTTGATGTGTTTGGTTTAGCTTATAGCTTATAGCTTATAGCTTTGTGGAAGTCAGAAAACAGCTTATTCTTTAAGTGGGGCAGGAGATGCTTTAAGAATAAGCTGGAAATCAGCTTAAGCTGAAAGTTATAAGCTATAAGCTGTTTAGGCATAAGCTATAAGCACTTTCCCACAGCTCTACCAAACAGGGCCATACTTTGGTTCTACCTATAGAAACTGATTGACCTACAACTAGCCAGTCCGGTCATGACAGTTAAACACCCGGCCGACCCATGTCGTAGACCATTCAAACAGTGGCTTTAGTTCCGATATTGGATAAGTCTCCAAAATTTTCTTCGTCCAAAATCTTAATAATTGAAAAAATAAAAAAATGTCATTTTTAAAAGATCCAACAAAAAAATACTTCCTACCCAAAAGACTAAAAGAATCCGTTTGGTTTGATTTTAAAATCAATTTTGAAAGATATATTTTTTAAAAGAGTTTTTAAAATTTTTAAAATTATTTAGTTGTATATTTTAAAAACTAGCAAGTGATAATTCAAATCTATGTATTATATAAGGAAAATGAGGTTTTTAGAGAGATGCCTTCTAAGAGCTCCAAACCCTAATTGTAAAATTATTAATTTTTTTTAATTTTAAACAATTAAGAAAATTCTCATTGACTAGCTTCCATTTACCTTTTATTTTACAATCCCACATCAGAAAAAGAAAGAAAAAGTAAATTGTTTCACTTATATAAAATGAATCTTATACTCTAATTTATATAAGCAAAATGAGTTTTTTTTATTTAGAAGCCTTATGATCAATATCTCATACTAATTTTTTTGATTTTCTTAATTTTAAACAATTAAGAAAATCTTCATTGGCTAACTTCCATTTAATTTTTATTTTACAATCCTACATAGAGGTTTTGATTTTAAAAATAATTTTGTATAAGATTTTGAAACTCTCATAATATCTCTTCTTAAAAGTATTCTTTTGTAAAATATACAGATATATTGATAATCTCAACGTCACTCTTATTGTTCCTTAATACAAAAATTGTGAGATAATTATGATAATTTAAAATTTGTATTTAAAATTTATAAATTATGGGATAGATTATTATAATTTTAAATTTATATTGTGTCAATTTTAAATTTAAATTAATAGATTGTTTTTAAATTTTAATAAAATAAAATTTAAAAGTTTTAATTAATTAATTTTTGTGTAAGCTGGTTGGTCTTTTGACCTAACTCTGATTAAGTTAAATCATTTTTGGTTTAAATGATTTGTTGGTTTAACGGCGATTTTAGCGGTTTTATCAAAATATATTGATCAAATTTGTTTGATTCGAAATAAACTAAAAATTGACCTAAATAAAGATTGAAAAGTTGAAATTGCTTAATTAAAAATAAATTTCTTGCCCAAACAATTCTTAATTGGGTAAATTACACTGACACCCCTTGAGGTTTGCATTTAATACAACTTTCCCCCTCACGTTTTAGAAATTACACTGACACCCCTGTCAGCGTTTGTCTTTTGACAAAATTAATGGAAAAGATAAAATTACCATGTTACCCTTACACAATAACATAAAAAGACATTAATAACCCTACCATATCTATCCTCCATATTCTTTATCTGAACCCTAAAATGTCTCCATAATTCTCTTCCCTTGGTCTCCTTCATCATCACCAAACTCCACTAACTGCCATTAGCAGTTTCTCAGACCTTCTATGTCGCCGAAAAATTTCAGCAACACTAGCTCCATTGCCTCAAAATACATCAACTCCAACACTGTTTGTTTGGAGAAATATGAGTCATTAGAAGGGGGTTTGCTTTGTGGCAATGGGGAAGATTTTGTGTGATTTAGATCTTATTTTGTATGATTTAGATATAATTTTGTTTGATTTGGGTATTATTTTTGTGTGATTTGGATCTTATTTGTATGATTTATGGGTTGGTAAGACATGGAGATCGGAAGTGAGGGTGATGGAGGAGGAGGGATGGTGAAAGGGCTTGCAGCTGTGGAACAGAAGCAGAGTGGTTCGCAATAATAGCAATAGAGAT